GGAATTTGCCTGTTTCTGAGTGATGTTCTTTATTTACTGCCTTGGTTTTGGTGTTTTTAATACTGGTTACCAGATTTTTTTTTCATTTTCATGGTTTCCTCCTTTCTGTTGAAATTGTCCACATGCTTGTAGATTTCGATGGCTTCTCTGTGTAGTCTGACATGGTGGTTGTGAGAGTGGTCCAGCATTTCTGTGTTCTCAAATAAAATGTACAACAACAGAGAGGAAGCAGGCAGGGACATCTAATTACCTCTCAGCAAAAGTTTGCCCCAGGCACAGTCAGCCCATTGTATGCTAATCAAGGTGGTCAGTTGAAACATTCACACCTAGCTCCAGCAGACAAGAGTCCTTTGTCTCACCCTGGTCATTCCACAGATATATAAACCCTTTTTCCTAGTTCCAACAGACCTCACTACCTCTGAGGATGCTTGCCATAGATGCAGGCGAAACATCAGGAGAGAATGCCTCTAGACCATGGCCATACAGCCCAAAAAAACCCTACAACAACCCACTGGTTTAAAAGTTTCCAAAGAAGGAGCCTCCACTACATACTCTGCCCTGGAGGTGCTTAGAATGCAGTTTTCCTGCTTCTTGGCAAGGGGTTGGGCTTTTTTTTTTTTGTCATGTCAGGAGCGACCTGAGAAACTGCAAGTTGTTTCTGGTGTGAGAGAATTGCCCGTCTGCAAAGACATTGCCCAGGGGATGCCCAGATGATTTGATGTTTTTAGCTTCTCTCATGTCCCTGCATGAGGAGCTGGAGCTGATAGAAGGAGCCCATCGAATCTCCCCGGATTCGAACCTGCGACCTGTCAGTCTTCAGTCCTGCTGGCACAAAGGTTCAACAGCCTGTCCCCTTTGGTTTAGGAAGGGGTTGGAAAGCTCCCTAGGGCCAAATGAATCTCTTTCTCAGGAGCCTTGCACTCAGCCATATAACTGCAAGTGCTTCTGGTGTGAGAGAATTGGCCGTCTGCAAGGACGTTGCCCAGGGGATGCCCAGATGATTTGATGATGCCTAGCTTGAGAGCAGTAAGTGTGAAAAACATCTTGTAGTCCTCGTGGACAATAACATGAGCCAACAATGTGATGTGACGGCAAAAAAAGCCCATGGGATTTTGGCCTGCATCAATAGGAGCATAGTGTCTAGATCTAGGGAAGTAATGCTACCCCTCTATTCTTCTTTGGTTAGACCACACCTGGAATATTGTGTCCAATTCTGGGCACCACAATTCAAGAGAGATATTGACAAGCTGGAATGTGTCCAGAGGAGGGCGACTAAAATGATCAAGGGTCTGGAGAACAAGCCCTATGAGGAGCAGCTTAAGGAGCTGGGCATGTTTAGCCTGAAGAAGAGAAGGCTGAGAGGAGATATGATAGCCATGTATAAATATGTGAGAGGAAGCCACAGGGAGGAGGGAGCAAGCTTGTTTTCTGCTTCCCTGGAGACTAGGACGCGGAACAATGGCTTCAAACTACAAGAGAGGAGATTCCATCTGAACATGAGGAAGAACTTCCTGACTGTGAGAGCCACTCAGCAGTGGAACTCTCTGCCCTGGAGTGTGGTGGAGGGAGCTTTTAAACCGAGGCTGGATGGCCATCTGTGAGGGGTGATTTGAATGCAATATTCCTGCTTCTTGGCATGGCCCATGAGGTCTCTTCCAACTCTTTGATTCTAGGATTCAGTCCTGCCGGCACAGGGCTTTAACCCACTGTGCCACCGGGGGCCACAGTGAAGACATCTGCCCTTGCGCTGTGCTACTCTGCTGCTGAGTATGCATGCCCAGTGTGGAACACATCTCACCACACTAAAACAGTGGATGTGGCTCTTAATGAGACATGCCGCTTTATCACGGGGTGTCTGCGCCCTACACCATTGGTGAAATTACACTGCTTAGCCGGTATTGCACCACCTGACATCCGCCGGGAAGTAGCAGCCAATAGTGAAAGGACCAAGGCAGAGACATCTCCAACTCATCCCCTGTTTGGGTATCAACCGGCACGTCAATGACTTAAATCTAAAAATATTTTTTTAAGATCTACAGAGACACTTGCTGGAACACCTCAGCAAGCGAGAGTCCAAAAGTGGCAGGCTCAAACCCAGAACCTCAACCAATGGCTGATACCAAATGAGAGACTCCCCCCTGGGCACACAGAGGAGTGGGCGACTTGGAAGGTGCTGAACAGACTGCGCTCTGGCACCACGAGATGGAGAGCCAACCTCAAGAAATGGGGCTACAAAGTGGAGTCCACGACATGCGAGTGCAGAGAAGAGCAAACCAACTACAATAATCAACTACCAAACTCACAAATTTTGTATTTTGCGTTTGTTTGTTTGCTTTGCTCTATTAGAAATGTAATATAATTGACTGGTTGCCCTCACACGACAAATACATTTATTTATCGTGTCATCATTGTATTACATTTCTAACAGAGCAAAACAAACACACAGATTAAAAAAAAAACCAACAACACAGATTTTGCAAACTTGGTAGTTGGTTAAATGTCCTTTTTACCAGTATCTGGCTTCTTGGAGTGTTGCTGCAAGAGAGACCTCCATCGTGCATGTGGCAGGGCTCAGATTGCATTGCAGCAGGTGGTCAGTGGTTTGCTCTTCTCCNGTTTGTTATAGTCCTAAGTTTCAGGGACTCTGCAGATAGGCGGCTTCTTTTGGCTGCAATCATAGGGCAAGCCTCCTGTCAATTATAGTTAGGTTCCCTGGTCCCGCCCCCTTTTTGGTTTTTTGGAGGGAATAGGAGCCAGTTGGGTTCAGTCCACACAGAGAAGCTTTCCATGCAGGACATAATACCAAGAGCTCCTGTAGAAAGCTTCGTCTTCTACAGCTTGGCCGGGGAGAAAGGTTCCGTAGCTTGGCCGAGGATTATACAGCCTTACAGCTCCTTTGCTGAAGGACTTCAGCCAGCCATCACCGAAACCTGAGCTCCTTTTCCCTTGGAAGTCTACAAAGCTCTGCATGGTAAGGGTCACTCGCGGAAGCCAGACGCAGTTGGTTCCGGGTGTAGGGGCTCCACGCCAACAGAGGCAAAGACAGACTGCCCAGATTAGAAGTTAAGGATTTCCCCATTAGTTAAATTGCAGTTAAGAAGATAGTGCCTGTTCCCTGTGGACAAGATTGAGAGAGAGCCAATAGACTATTAAGAAAGCCTTGAAGTACCTGTTTGTTTTTATTAATAAAGAACTTTGTTGAACCTTTAAGCAATATAAAGACTCTGTTTTAAGGAAATCCAAAGGCCTTTAATCTGAGGCAGCCCCGGCGTCCCGTTGGGCACACAGAATTTATGTCCTGTCTACAGTCTTATGCACAGGCCCAGCGTGCAACAGCACAGTTGGCTCTGAGCCCATCTTTCAATCTCTTTTCATGCCCGCCAACATTGCTGTTCTTGAGTTCAGAATAGAGCAACTGTTGTGGGAGGCGGTGGTCAGGCATCCAGACAACCTGGCCAATCCAGCAGAGTTGATGGCATAGGACAGTGATGGGCAACCTTTTGAGATTGGTGTGTCAAAGTTTGCCAAAAACCTAAGCATAACTTGGGTGGAGTGTCACTTTGAGAAAAAAAACCATAATTTTGCAATATTTATAGTTTAAATAAGAAAAATGTATAATCCGTGCTGAGTTATGGAGTGAACAATGCTCAAATGTGCAGATGTTAAATTTGTAGAGCCTTTTACAAATTTAAGGATGGAATTAGATTGGCTCTTAAAAGGTGTATTTCTCTAATGTGATGTGGCAGAAAAAAAAGCCAATGGGATTTTGGCCTGCATCAATAGGAGCATAGTGTCTAGATCTAAGGAAGTAATGCTCCCATGCTCTATTCTGCTTTGGTTAGACCACACCTGGAATATTGTGTCCAATTCTGGGCACCACAATTCAAGAGAGATATTGACAAGCTGGAATGTGTCCAGAGGAGGGCGACTCAAATGATCAAGGGTCTGGAGAACAAGCCCTATGAGGAGCGGCTTAAGGAGCTGGGCATGTTTAGCCTGAAGAAGAGAAGGCTGAGAGGAGATATGATAGCCATGTATAAATTTGTGAGAGGAAGCAACAGGGAGGAGGGAGCAAGCTTGTTTTCTGCTTCCTTGGAGACTAGGACGCGGAACAATGGCTTCAAACTACAAGAGAGGAGATTCCATCTGAACATGAGGAAGAACTTCCTGACTGTGAGAGCCGTTCAGCAGTGGAACTCTCTGCCCCGGAGAGTGGTGGAGGCTCCTTCTTTGGAAGCTTTTAAACAGAGGCTGGATGGCCATCTGTCAGGGGTGCTTTGAATGCAATATTCCTGCTTCTTGGCAGAGGGGTTGGACTGGATGGCCCATGAGGTCTCTTCCAACTCTTTGATTCTATGATTCTCTGTATGTGGCCGCATGTGTCTGCGTGTCATCAAAAATAGCCATGTGTGTCAGTGCTGACACGCATGTCATAGGTTCACCATCATGGCATAGGAGCATCGCTTCAGTGCTGGTGGTCTTTGCTTCTTCCAGCACACTGACATTTGTCTGCTTGTCTTCCCAAGAGATTTGCAGGATTTTCCGGAGGCAGCGCATTCTAAGAGTTGCATGTGACATTGCATGTTCCAGGAGTTGCATGTGACATTTGTAGACAGTCCATGTTTCGCAGGCGTATAGCAGGGTTGGGAGGGGAATAGCTTTATATACAAGCCCCTTGGTCTCCCTACGGATGTCCCGGTCCTCAAACACTCTTTGCTTCATTCGGAAAAAAGCTGCACTCGCAGAGCTCAGGCGGTGTTGTATTTCAGTGTCAATGCTGACTTTGGTGGAGAGGTGGCTGCCAAGGGAACGGAAATGGTCCACATTTTCTAATGTTTTCTAATGGTCAGCCATTTCTCTTTCTATCACTATGTTTTTTTCCCTCCCGTGGGTTATAAATGTCATTGGGTTGCTGTGAGTTTTCCGGGCTGTCTGGCCATGTCCCAGTAGGTTGTTGTAGGTATTTCGGGCTATATGGCCATGTTCTAGAGGCATTTTCTCCTTACGTTTTGCCTGCATCTATGGCAAGCATCATCAGAGGTAGTGAGGTCTGTTGGAAGTAGGAAAAAGGGTTTATATATCTGTGGAATGACCAGGGTGGGACAAGAACTCTTGTCTGCTGTAGCTGGGTGTGAATGTTTCAACTGACCACCTTGATTAGCATTTAATTGCCTGGCAGTGCCTGGGGCAATCTTTTGTTGAGAGGTGATTTGATGTGCCTGATTGTTTGCTCTCTGTTGTTTTGCTGTTGTAATGTTTGAGTTTTTTTAATACTGGTAGCCAGATTTTGTGCATTTTCATGGTTTCTTTCTTTCTGTTGAAATTGTCCACATGCTTGTGGATTTCAATGGCTTCTCTGTGTAGTCTGACATGGTGGTTGTGAGAGGAAGAGAGATACAAACCACCTACAGACCCACCAAGAAAATAATAGAAGCCTAGAATCCTAGAGTTGGAAGAGACCTCCTGGGCCATCCAGTCCAACCCCATTCTGCCAAGAAGCAGGAATATTGCATTCAAATCACCCCAGACAGATGGCCATCCAGCCTCTGTTTAAATGCTTCGAACTTGCCAGAAACTTGAAACATAGACCCAACTTGACCAATTTTGAATACTAATTGACTTTGGAGGGAATTTCCTTTGGATGTTGGGAATTATAGTTCACCCACATCCAAAGAACACTTGGATCTGGCCCAGACTTGGCACACATATTCAATATGGCCAACTTTGAATACTGGTAGGGTTTGGGGAAATTTTACATCTTTTTGCTTTTTCATAATATTCAAAACCCAGCAAAGACTACTTGTAATATTTATCCTCACGAAAGACCTATCCTGGGCATTGCTACGTACCTAAGGTACTGTATATTAAGCGGAAAACACCAATGTTTCATTTGTTCTGGAAATATCCCAAGCCAAAGATGGTTGAATCTGTGGGTACAGAGAGCCCAGCGTAAAATCATAATTTTAGTATAATTAATATAATTGTTGTACTCCAGGACAGGAAAAGCTTTAAACACCACATGTGGAGTAGGGAAAACAATCCTTTTATTGAAGATAATTAAAAAGCAGCAAGCAAAAAGCATTTTAAGAAATAGGTAAATCCAATTAGATAAGAAGATAAGCAGGGGCAAAAATAGTCCAGGGTAAAGTTCAGCAAAGCCCATAAAAGCAAAGTCCACATGACTCTAATACAACACAGAAAGTCAGGAATACATTGATCCAAGGCTTGGGTAAGCAATCATGAAATCCAGGAATCATGGTTTTGATTCCTGGATTTCATGATTGCTTACCCAAGCCTTGAAACAAGAAATATCTTGGCATAAATCTTTAAAGCAAGGCTTCCATAAACAAGGACAAGAACTTGGCGTGATTCTAAACAATGGTTCATCTGACTACACATCCCAAACTTGAGACTTTTATCCCCTCGTTAGGTAGGTCACTAGCGGTCAGAAATTGGTTTCCCTTTAATTGAAGCTTTGTTATTGTTTCAGTCAAAGCCTGGCAGAGCGCCGAAGCCATTGCTCAGCTCTCCTGTTTTGACTAATCTCATCTATCTCTGGGCTCGTTATCTACTTGCTTGTTTCATTTATTTCTTTAAAACTTTTATATCCCGATCTTTTCAACCTCCGTAGAGGGACTCAGACCGGCTTGTTAACTTTTGCAGCTAGGCCAGGTGCCGAGTTATTTTCATGTTCTCTCTCATGAGAACTCTCTGGTAACAATTCAGAAAGCACACCATCATCCCCACACCCCTCAGGGACATTCTCATGGGAAACTACTGGGATCTCCTGATCATTCTCTGCATCAATATCACTGACCAAACCGTTGCCATCTTGAAACTCATCTTGAACCTCATTAACATCATTCCTCACATCCAAAGCACCCTGATCCTGAAACACAGTTACAGGCTGAACAATAATAATAGCCACCAACATCCTTGTCCTTTATGTCCTTTTCCATCCAATAATGAGATGCCTGGTAGCTAGCAGCATCCTGAAAGCACTACATATTCCAAGACTTGGACAGAGCGCCAGGGATTGCGGGGTCCCCCTTCCCCGCTTTGCAGTGGTCTTCCAGGACTTTGGCCACAATGGCCACGGCCTCCTCATTAATCGGGCAGGCATAGAAGCCATCTTCAAGGGTGTAGCGAGCGTGGAGGGTGCGCACTACGGCTGGGTGATACGCCAGTAGCTTGGTGTCCACAAAGGAAGTGCTCTCCTTCAGTTTGTGATGCAGCATCACCAAGACAGCCTTTGGCTCACCTGGAAGCACAAAAACAATGGAAACTGTGGGGAATGTTTGGGTTGTGCCTTCCTTTGAAGTCGAACATGACCCCCCCCCCCCATAAGAGATAGTAACTTATAGTTTTGCTAAGGGCAAGGACACTAGGCTGGATAATAAGGGTTAAGCCTTGGTCAGTTTGGTGTGTATCATTTAATCAAGGCTTTATGCCCTATTTTCATGTGTTTATAGCAGAAGGTAACAAATTTATGACTGAAAATCATGCCACAAAAGTATTTGACTTTTTCCATCTGAGACACACCTGGGCTCCTGATGGTCCCTATCTCACAAACAAGGGACTCTCTTTCCCCCTCGTGGATATATTTCCCTTTATGGACCTTCCTATGAATAATATGAACTATGGACACTGGGGGAAGGTAGTTGGATTTACTCTCTGTATTATGATTTCTATATTTTTATATTTTCCCCTGTATTTCTATATTTCCCTTCATGTATCTGACCTTGCTCTGACCCTTTTTGCCCCTTCCCATCTCCTTGAGGAAAAATGTGTAAGGAAGTTGCCCTGATCCTGGAGGGGCAGAGATTAGCCATCACAAAGAACTCTTCTCTATAGACATGGACTTGCATGGACAGTGACAAAAGGTGATATTCTTTGGCTTCGGAGGTACTTGGCCACCAAGGAAGTCACCAATTAGCAAACTCTTAATCATATCTCCATGAGATAAGGGGAAACCCTCGAAAAGTTTCCCCTTCCCAACCTGTCACCCATTCAGCCTCTCACTAAAGACATCCAACTAAGTATGCCCCCATTGTTCCCCTGTCTGTGCTGTTAAAGAAAACCCGGATTATGTTGGTTTATGTTTATTGCCACCCATCACAGGACAATAGACTAGCCTGGCTTGCAGGCCTTTCTAGGACTCGCCAGGCATTTGGACATTTCCTGAGTTTCCTTAATCCACTCAAGAATGCATTGTATTCCCTTGTCCCGCCTCCCTCCCCCCTGATTCGCCAAAGCGAAGAAGTGGCAGGAGCCTTCTGATTGGTCCACACACTCAGAGGGCGGCCGAGCCTCCTCCCAGCTGTTGGGGCATCAGCCAATCACCTTTCAGCCAGGCGGAGAGTGGGGAGCAGGGAGAATTTAAACCCGCAACTCTGTATTTTCTATGAAAATGCCATTTATTTCTGTAACGACATGCTCTGCTTGGTGAATGATTGCTGCTTTGCATCCTTTTCAGCTGAATCGCTAATAAACCTCGGTGGCGCTCCCTTCCTTGGCGAATGAATGAAAGAATTGTTTATTGTACTAGCCATAGGCCACGACATCAGTAATACACTAACTTTATAAACACTTTCCAATATAAACCTTAAAATGTAACAAGAATTAAAACTAAAACAAGTTCTTTAAAATTATGAAAGCAGAAACATGACAATGACAGTGTCTGCTTTGTGTCATTCCAAACCGTTTCCATTTCTGACCCCCAGTATGGATTTTGCTACTTTGGCTCTGATCTTTTGGGCTGCGATTGCGAATGTGGCAACCTTTAGTGTTATATTTTTAGAATGATCTGCTAGCAAGTCGCAGATCACCGCAGATTGTTGCCATGATGCCCTTTCTTCCAAGAGTGATCCTAGGAGATTTTTCCTAGGGTCATTCTACAAGGGGCAACGTAGCAAATAGTGTGTTAGGTCTTCTATTTCCCCTGTGCCACAAATGCAAAGTCGATGGGCATGGGGGATCCCTCTGTATCTTCCCTCTAGCCAGTTTGATGGCATTGTTTGGAATCGCAAGGCTGTAAATGCTTTCCTCAGGACCGCTGACGTTAGGTCTTGAAGATATTGTTGACGATATTGGTCACTTTTTAGCCGAGGATACCAGGTAGAGAAACCTTGCAGTTTGCTAATCTGTAAGTTGTCAGCTGCATCCCTCTCAAAGATTTTGTCTCTAATCGCCTTCTTGTCCAGATGCATTAGGGTATTTGTTGACCCATCAAAGTACTGAAGGAGCAAGGCTTGCCAGTATTGTGCCCATCCTCCCTGCTTATACTGCTCCATCATGCATTGCACTGTTATACTCTCATACTCAATTCCCAGGAGCCTCTTCCCATATAAGATGTTAAGTTTATGCATTCTGGCCTTAAGTGAGGGAAGATCCAATTCCAGCCTTAACAAGGCAGCTGGAGTCCCAGGGGGAAGGGCTAACAAAGCTCTTGCAAACTTATTCTGAATACATTCAACCTGTTTTGTATTGCCCTGTCCCCAAATTTCGGCTCCATACAATAGTTGGGGTAAAATTTTAGCAGAAAAAATCTTTACTGTGGGACATACCACCCTTCCTTGGTGAGACTTACTGCCGAGACCCTTGAGAGCATTGGCCATGTTGCTGCCCACTGAAGTAGCCACCGGGCAGAAGACCAGCAGGAAGTGGCTGGAACCCTCTTGGTATCTCTCAGTCTTGAGGTGGATATTGAAGAGACGCTCGGAGACCTTCTTTAAGAACTCGTTTTCACAGCCACCAGTCTTCCCAGTGACAAGCACCTGGATATGGAAATCTGGGGAAGGGGAAAGGAAGAGAAGAGGGACAAAGCTCTCTTGAGGTGCACCAAGACTGCACTTTGGAAACGTGCCTTCCTCGGAGTCTTGAGAAAGTGTGCCTCACGTAAGACCCCCAGTGGGTTCTGCCAGCTTAGCATGACTCTGAACCCTGGACCCTCAGCTGCTCATGCATCACTCCAAGTCAGATCCCAAGCAGGAGGGGTCTGGAAATACACCCCAGGGGTCTTGCAGTGTCCTTGGTTCCCACGTGGGACAAAAGGAAGGGCAGCCACCTGTGGGTCTGACAGGCCTCCTCAAAGCCCACTTGATGGCAATGAAATCTCACCAGTTCCTGATCACCAATGGCCCCAAAGTCCATCCTATTGCAGGGCGGACTATGAGTGCATCTACACTGTAGAGCTCATGTGGCTTGACACCATGTGAATTGTCACGGCTCCAAGGTATGGAACCCAGGGAGGAGTTGTAGATGCTTTGAGAGGAAAGCATGGTCATAGAATCATGGAGTTGGAAGAGACCTCGTGGGCCATCCAGTCCAACCCTTCTGCCAGGCAGGAAAAGCACCATGAAAGCACCCCCGACAGATTGCCATCCAGCCACTGTTTAAAAGCCTCCAAGGAAGGAGCTTCCAATTGACTCTGAAGTAGAGAGTTCCACTGTCGAACAGTTCTTCTTCTTAGAGCCAGAAAGACCTTCCTAAAGTTTAGATTCAACCTCACGACCTTATCACACTAGAGAAAAAATACACTTAAAATCCGGTTTCTGCCTCCTGCAGAATTCTGGGGTTCATAGTTAAGGTGAAGTCAAACATGACCCCCCCCCCCCAATAAAAGATAGTAACTTATAGTTTTGCTAAGGACAAGGACATCAGACTGGCTAATAAGGGTTACGTCTTGGTCAATTTGCAAAGATACTAACAACAACAAGGATCCTTCCCATGTTAGATAGTGTGTACATTTAATCAAGGTTTTATGCCCTATTTTCATATATTTATAGCAGAAGGTAATAAATTTATTACTGAAAACCATGCCACAAAAGTATTTGACTTTTTCAATCTGAGACACACCTGTGCTAGAGAATTAATGACTCTCCTAATGGTTCTGAAGTTGATAGGAACTTTATAAGGGTCTACCCCAGGAGGAGAGACCCTGCGGACCCACCAAAGAGGGATCGCTACATTGGTGAGCAAAGAGAAGCCTAATTTTAAGCAATTTATTTTCTCTAAGTTCCCAAAAAGAATCTCACCAAAGTTGAAGAAAGTGCCACCGAGGTTTTTTAGCAATTCAGCTGAAAGGGATGCAAAGCAGCAATCATTCGTCAAGCAGAGCATGTGGTTACAGAAATAAAGGCCATTTTATAGAAAATACAGAGTTGTGAGTTTCAAAATTCCCGCTCCCTCCTCCCGGCCAGCTCGAAGGGGATTAGCTGACACGCAAACAGCTGGGAGGAGGCTTGGCCATCCCCCATGCATCACGGCCAATCACAGGGCTTTCGCGGTGCGCCAGAGCCAATCAGGAGGCTCCTGCTGCCTCAATGCTCCAGCGAATCAGAAGGGAGGGAGGCGGGATGAAGGGAGACAATGCATTCTTGAGTGGATTATGGAGTTTTAATGCCCTGTAGCTTATCGAGTCCTGAATCGACCTGCCAGAGAAGCTAACTTTATTGTCTTGAGATGGGTCTGCAATAAGCATTGATTACTTAATCTGGTTTTCCTCTTACGATCAGATAGGGCACAAAGGGGAAGACCTTGGTGAATGTCCTTAGAGGAGAGATTTGAAAGAAAAACAGGTTGGGGGAAAAGAGGAGATTTGAAAGAGACCCTTAAAGAAGGACTATGATATGTTGCATATTCCAGAGTAGGCAAACCAGACACTCTCCACATCCACACTGACAAAGAAACAACAAGAAATACTGTTTACCCACAAGCATAAAGAAATTACATATATTAGAAAACAACACTTTCTCATTACTTTATTTTCCAAATCACCAGACTGGGCCACAGCAACGCCTGGCAGGGGATGGCTAGTATGAAATAAAAAAGAAAAAGCCACCCTTTTCAGGAATCCAGCACCCCATGGCTACAGGAAGCTTTCTCTCATTTCCTGGGCCAGTAAAGACAAAGGTCTCACCAGAAACTCTTTGCGTGAACAATAAAGTAATGGCTCTTATCACCACAGATGGGCCAAAGGCTGGCCCATCTGAGAGATAAAAGTCTATGGACATACTGAACACAACACAAAGGATGGTTCCCCATCTGCAAGGAACCAGGGATTTGTCCCCACCTCTTCTGCTGTGTCATATCCCAATCTCTGAAACCAATCTCTGCTTCATCAATTGAACCCATATCACAGGACTGTAAGGACAAAGGACCGAGCCCCTAGGGGCCAGACCACCATGTTGAATCCAAGGACCAAAACCATAACCTAGGCTAGGCTTGAGAGCCTAAAGGATTTTCACCAGCCATTTAGCAAACACTGGTCATCTTAATCCAGTCAACTAGACATTTCTTTGTTGTTTTCCTGTTGCCCGCCTCCCTTCCACCCCATTGGCTGAGAGGCCAAAGCAGGGCTCAGGCCACCATTGGCTCTCCTGCTGGCTTGCCGACGTCACAGCCTATCACAACGAAGCTGGCTTAGGGGGTGGGCATGGAAACTTTTGAATCTGAAATCCATATATTCTGTATTTACCTGCCTAGCAGACATGTCAATTTTGTTGGCAGGCTACTGCAATCATCATCCTTTCCAGCTGGAATGAAATAAACATCTCGGTGGCTTTCTCTTCAACTTGGTGAAATTTATTCTGCAATATTGGCTTCTTTTTCTCACCAGGCAACCCACAATGGCTTGGGTCTATCCACAGCCATTCTAAAATGCTTGACAGCATAGGAAGTAGCCTTTAACAGCCTCATTAAACTACAAACCCCAGAATTCTGCAGGAGGCAGAAACCGGATTTTAAACAGATTTTTTTTTCTCTTGAAGCATTGTTCTAGAAGCATTCTCTCCTGATGTTTCACCTGCATCTATGGCAGGCTTCCTCAGAGGTTGTGAGATCTGTTGGAAACTAGGAAATTTAGGTTTATATATCTGTGGAATGTCCAGGGTGGGAGAAAGTTATTTTTTCTCTATTGTGATGGTGTAGTTTCCTGTAATTTGAACCCAGAACTCCAAGGCCTAGTTTCCAAGACTGCATAGAATTAATCAAAGAGTTGGAAAAGACCTCCTGGGCCATCCAGTCCAACCCCATTCTGCCAAAAAGCAGGAAGATTGCATTCAAATCACCCCTGACAGATGGCCATCCAGCCTCTGTTTAAAAGCTTCCAAAGAAGGAGCCTCCACCACACTCCGGGGCAGAGAGTTCCACTGCTGAACAGCTCTCACAGTCAGGAAGTTCTTCCTCATGTTCAGGTGAAGTCTCCTTTCTTGCAGTTTGAAGCCATTGTTCCGCATCCTAATCTCCATGCAAGCAGAAAACAAGCTTGCTCCCTCCTCCCTGTGGCTTCCTCTCACATAGTTATACCTGGCTATCATATCTCCTCTCAGCCTTCTCTTCTTCAGGCTAAACATGCCCAGTTCCTTAAGCCGCTCCTCATAGGGCTTGTTCTCCAGACCCCTTATCATTTTAGTCGCCCTCCTCTGGACACATTCAAGCTTGTCAATATCTCTCTTGAATTGTGGTGCCCAGAATTGGACACCTTATTCCAGGTGTGGTCTAACCAAAGCGGAATAGAGCATGGGGAGCATGACTTCCCTAGATCTAGACACTATGCTCCTATTGATGCAGGCCTAAATCCCATTGGCTTTTTTTGCCGCCACATCAGATTCCTGGCTCATGTTTAACTTGTTGTCCATGAGGACCCCAAGATCTTTTTTCACACGTCCTGCTCTCGAGCCAGGCCTCATCGTCCCCCATTCTGTATCTTTGCATTTCGTTTTTTCTGCCTAAGTGGAGCATCTTGCGTTTGTCCCTGTTGAACTTCATTTTGTTAGAAAGCAAGCTTGTCGATATCTAATAATAATAACAACAAAAACAACAATGAGGCAGCAGCGCTTTTAGCAGAACAGGCTAAGGACTGTTTAAGGACAAGAGCTACCTGGACCCCATCGCATGGAGCCATGGCAGTTGAAGTGGTATCAAACTGCCTTCAGTCTGCAGTGTAGATACAGCCTCTAAGGTGATTCTATTGTGCAAACTGACCCTGGAGTAGCTCTGCAGGATAAGACTGTGATGTGGCACAACCAAACTGCCCCAGGACTGCACTTTGACCACCCTCCTCTCATCTCTCCACCTGCCCTGGTGTCATTTCACCCACCTGTTTTAAACCATGGAAATGGAAATACTTGGTTCCTTGTCCTCTGGCTTCTGGCCTCTTGGAGCTCCTGCTGCAGCCGCTGAATCTCAGCCTTGAGAAGGGCCACTTCTGTCTCATGGGATGCTTGCAGTTGCTCCTTTTCTTGCAACGGGTGCTCCTTTTCTTGCAAAAGGCGCTCGTTTTCTCGCATCAGGTGCTCCTTTTCCTGCATCAGTTGCTCCTTTTCTTGCGACAGGCGCTCTTTTTCTTGCAACAGTTGGGCAAAAACTTTGGCTGGCCTCGCCATCGCTTTGAGAAATTCCCTGGTTGCAGGGTTTTCGAAGTTGCTCATACTCTGCAAAGGAGGAAAAGTCTGCAGGCTTCCAAGCAAGGCAAGTGCAGAAAGGGATCCCTCTCAAGCTGAATGGGCAAGAAGGGGATCCTGGGATTTGTACTATACTGGGGCAACTGGAATCTAGGGTTGGAGGGGACCCCGAGGCCCATCTAGTCCACCCCCTTCTGCCAGGGAGGAAGGCACAATAGACCAGTGTGTCCAGAGGAGGGCGATTAAAATGATCAAGGGTCTGGAGAACAAGCCCTATGAGGAGCGGCTTAAGGAGCTGGGCATGTTTAGCCTGAAGAAGAGAAGGATGAGAGGAGATATGATAGCTATGTATAAATATGTGGGAGGAAGCCACAGGGAGGAAAGAGCAAGCTTGTTTTCTACTTCCATGGAGATTAGGACAAGGAACAATGGCTTCAAACTACACAAAAAAAAAGATTCCATCTGAACAGGAGGACGAACTTCCTGACTGTGAGAGCTGTTCAGCAGTGGAACTCTCTGCCCTGGAGTGTGGTGGAGGCTCCTTCTTTGGAGGCTTTTTAAACAGAGGCTGGATGGCCATCTGTCAGGGGTGATTTGAATGCAATATTCCTGCTTCTTGGCAGAATGGGGTTGGAGTGGATGGCCCAGGAGGTCTCTTCCAACTCTAGGATTCTAGGATTCTCAGCCTGTGGTGTTTTGGCCTACAACTCCCAGAAATCCCAGCCAGTTTACCAGCTGCTAAGATTTCTGGGAGTTGAAGGCCAAAACATCTGGGGACCCACAGGTTGAGAACCACGACAAAAGAGGCCCTCCTGACAGATGGCCACCCAGACCCTGCTTATAATGTAACAGGAATGGAAACTCCATTAGACTCCTAGACACAGCCTTTCACCAAGGGCTACATGGCCATCTGTTGGGAGGGCACCAATTGTGTCTTCCTACCCTTGGGAGTCCCTTCCAAATCTAAAGGAATATGCCCTGTCTAGTGGGGTCTCTTTCTTTCTCTGAGGATTTTTAAGCAGAGGATGGATGGCTGTCTGTCTGGATTTATTTCAATGTGCCTTCTTGAGTGGCAGCAGGGAGGTGGGCTAGATGGCTTCTTGTGGATTTCAATGGCTTCTCTGTGCAGTCTGACATGGTGGTTGTGAGAGTGGTCCAGCATTTCTGTGTTCTCAAATAATCTGCTGTGTCCAGGCTGGTTCATCAGGTGCTCTGCTATGGCTGACTTCTCGGGTTGGATTAGTCTGCAGTGCCTTTCATGTTCCTTGATTTGTGTTTAGGCAATGCTGATGCGTTTGGGGGTCCCTATGTAGACTTCTTGTCCATAGCTGCATGGTATCTGGTAGACTCGTGCAGAGGCGAGAGGATCCCTCTTGTCCTTTGCTGAACGAAGCATTTGTTGGATTTTCTTGGTGGGTCTGTAGATAGTTTGTATGTTGTGTTTCTACAGACCCACCAAGAAAATCCAACAAATGCTCCGTTCAGCAAAGGACGAGATGGATCCTCTCACTTCTGCAGGAGTCTACCATGTACCATGCAGCTGTGGACAAGAAGTCTACATAGGGACCACCAAACGCAGCAGCATTACCCAGACACGAATCAAGGAACATGAAAGGCAGTGCAGACTCCTTCAACCAGAGAAATCAGCCATAGCAGAGCACCTGAGGAACCAACCTGGACACAGCAGATTATTTGAGAACACAGAAATGCTGGACCACTCCAACAACCACCATGTCAGACTACACAGAGAAGCCACTAAAATCCACAAGAAGCATGTGGACAATTTCAACAGAAAGGAGGAAACCATGAAAATGAACACAATCTGGCTCCCAGTATTGAAAAACTCTAAAATTACAACAGCAAAAGAACAGAAGGGAAACAATCAGGAACATCTAATCACCTCCCAACAAAAGATTCCCCCAGGCACTGCCAGGCCATCAAATGCTAATCAAAGTGGTCAGTTGAAACATTCACACCTCACTCCAACCGACAAGAGTTCTTTGTCCCACCCGGGACATCGTTCTACAGATATATAAACCCTTTTTCCTAGTTCCAACAGACCTCACTACCTCTGAGGATGCTTGCCATAGATGCAGGCGAAACGTCAGGAGAGAATGCCTCTAGAACAGTGGTTCTCAACCTTCCGAATGCCGCGACCCCTTAATATAGTTCCTCAGGTTGCAGTGACCCCCAACCATAACCCTAACATTATGAATCGCCATGTAAATAATGATCTGCAGGATGTGTTTTCATTCACTGGAGCAAATTTCGCACAAATACCCGGTATGTACAAATTTGAATACTGGTGGGGTTGGTAGGGGGATTGATTTTGTCATTTGGGAGTTGTAGTTGTTGGGATTTATAGTTAACATGTAAACAAAGATCATTCTGAACCCCACCAACAATGGAATTGAACCAAAGTTGGCAAAGAGAACTCCCATGATCAACAGAAAATACTGGAAGGATTTGGTGGGCATTGACCTTGAGTTTGGGAGTTGCAGTTCGCCTCCATCCAGAGAGCACTGTGGGCTCAAACAATGAGGGATCTGGACCATGGATACTCAATATGCCCAAATGCGAACACTGATGGGGTTTGGGGAAAATAAACTTTGACATTTGAGAGTTGTAGATACTGGGATTTATAGTTCACCTACAATCAAGGAGCATTCTGAACCTCACCACTGATAGAATTGGGCCAAACTTCCCACACAGAACCCCCATGACCAACAGAAAATACTGTGTTTTCTGATGGTCTTTGGCGACCCCTCTGACACCCCTTCGCGACACCCTCAGGGGTCCCGACCCCCAGGTTGAGAAACACTGCAATATGACATGTGAGCCCTACCCCCTACCAAAAAATCAGGTGTCAGTCAAATTTTAAGGTTCGACCAATAACATCCCTGCCCCCAACACACGTCATGTCAGCCTCCCCGAGTCCCCCTTGGGGAGATGTTTTTTGGGATATAAATAAAGTTGTATTATTAGTCTTCCTTTTCGGGCCAGCTTTCACTTTCCTTTCCAGGAAAGGAGGGCGAGGAGGAGGGGGCTTCTCCTCCTGGTGTCCTCTCCTCCTCCCTCCCAGGGAAAGGGCTCCTTTGGCACCAAGGCTAGCACATGCTCGAGGGTCTCTCTTTCCCTTCAAGGCGGAACCCGGAGGCAGGAAGGGCGCCGGGGAGCCCCTGAGTATGTGCAGAGGGCCGGTGGGGGTCTCTCTTCTACCTCTTCCTCCTCCCGCTCCTTACCTTTGCAGGCGGCGGGTCCCCGGGCGCAGGACGACCCGCCTCGGGCTCCTGGAGGGAGGGCTCCCCGCTCCTCCTGCCGGGCTGCCGGGGGTCTCCTTCCGCCCCCGACCGCCCCCCAAGAGAGGCCTTCAGATCGGGACCCCTCTTGCCCGCCGCCTCTGCCATGGCCGGGAAGGGAAGCCGGAGGAGGGCAGGAAAACGGCACCAGGAGGGAGGAGAAGGGGGCAGGGATCGCGGCCCCTCCCGACGCCAACACCTTCGACCCCACACGCCACCCTCTCCAGCGCGTGCAGAGTTCCCTTTGCCCTTCTCTTCATCTTGGAGTCCTCGTGGACAACGAGTTAAACATGAGCCAGGAATGTGATGTGGCGGCAAAAAAAGCCAATGGGATTTTGGCCTGCATCAAGAGGAGCCTAGTGTCTAGATCTAGGGAAGTCATGCTCCCCATGCTCTATTCCGCTTTGGTTAGACCACACCTGGAATATTGTGTCCAATTCTGGGCACCACAATTCAAGAGAGATATTGACAAGCTGGAATGTGTCCAGAGGAGGGCGACTAAAATGATCAAGGGTCTGGAGAACAAGCCCTATGAGGAGCGGCTTTAAGGAGCTGGGCATGTTTAGCCTGAAGAAGAGAAGGCTGAGAGGAGATATGATAGCCATGTATAAATATGTGAGAGGAAGTCACAGGGAGGAGGGAGTAAGCTTGTTTTCTGCTGCCCTGGAGACTAGGATGCGGAACAATGGCTTCAAACTACAAGAAAGAAGATTCCATCTGAAATTAGGAAGAACTTCCTGACTGTGAGAGCTGTTCAGCAGTGGAACTCTCTGCCCCAGAGTGTGGTGGAGGCTCCTTCTTTGGAGGCTTTTAAACAGAGGCTGGATGGCCATCTGTCGGGGGTGCTTTGAATGCAGTTTTCCTGCTTCTTAGCAGGGGGTTGGACAGGATGGCCCATCCCCCCCCCGCGGGCTATAAATGTCATTGGGTGGCTGTGAGTTTTCCGGGCTGTCATAGAATCCTAGAGTTGGAAGAGACTTGTTAGGCCATCATCCAGTCCAACCCCATTCTGCCAAGAAGCAGGAATATTGCATTCAAAGCACCCCTGACAGATGGCCATCCAGCCTCTGTTTTAAAAGCCTCCAAAGAAGGAGCCTCCACCACACTCCCGGCAGAGAGTTCCACTGCTGAACGGCTCTCACAGTCAGGAAGTTCTTCCTCATGTTCAGATGGAATCTCCTCTCTTGTAGTTTGAAGCCATTGTTCCTGCATCCTAGTCTGACCTACAAGAAGCACTGCCTGAACCTCAAGCAAAAAGTGGGTGCTAGAAACAATATCATACGAAAGCTGACTGGTACAACCTGGGGATCACAACCAGACACAGTGAAGACCTGCCCTTGTGCTATGCTACTCTGCTGCTGAGTACGCATGCCCAGTGTGGAACACATCTCACCACGCTAAAACAGTGGATATGGCTCTTAATGAGACATGCCGCATTATGACACGGGGTGTCTGCGCCCTACACCACTGGAGAAATTACACTGCTTAGCCGGTATTGCACCACCTGACATCCGCCGGGAAGTAGCAGCCAATAGTGAAAGGACCAAGGCAGAGACATCTCCAGCTCGTCCCCTGTTTGGGTATCAGCCAGCACGTCAACGACTTAAATCTAGAAATAGTTTTCTAAGATCTACAGAGACACTCGCTGGAACACCTCAGCAAGCGAGAGTCCAAAAGTGGCAGGCTCAAACCCAGAACCTCAATCAATGGCTGATACCAAATGAGAGACTCTCCCCTGGGCACACAGAGGACTGGGCGACTTGGAAGGCGCTGAACAGACTGCGCTCTGGCACCACGAGATGCAGAGCCAACCTTCAGAAATGGGGCCACCAAGTGGAATCTACGACATGCGAGTGTAGAGAAGAGCAAACCACTGCAACCTGAGCCCTGCCACATGCACAATGGAGGACCTTCTTGCAGCAACACCAGAGGCACTCCAAGTGGCCAGATACTGATCAAAGGACATTCACAATCCACTACCAACCTCGCAAATTTTGTATTTTGTCTGTCTGTTTGTTTTGTTCTGTTAGAAATGTAATATAATTGACTGGTTGTTCTGACATGACAAATAAATACTGCATCCTCGTCTGCAGGCCAGCAGAAAGGAAGCCTGCTCCCTCCTCCCCCCTGTGACTTCCCCTCACATATTGATACATTGCCCTCATCATGTCTCCTCTCAGCCTTCTCTTCTGCAGGCTGAACATGCCCAGCTCCTTAAGCCGCTCCTCATAGGGCTTGTTCTCCAGACCCTTGATCATTTGAGTCACCCTCCCCTGGACACATTCTAGCTTGTCAACATCTCCCTTCAATTGTGGTGCCCAGAATTGGACACAATATTCCAGGTGTGGTCTAACCAAAGCGGAATAGAGCATGGGGAGCATGACTTCCCTAGATCTACACACTAGGCTCCTCTTGATGCAGGCCAAAATCCCATTGGCTTTTTTTGCCGCCACATCACATTGTTGGCTCATGTTTAACTTGCTGCCCATGAAGACTCCAAGGTCATTTTCACATGTCCTGCTCTCAAGCCAAGCCTCATCTCCCCCATTCTGTCTCTTTGCATTTCATTTTTTTCTGCCTAAGTGGAGTCTCTTGCATTTGTCCCTGTTGAACTTCACTGTGTTAGTTTTGGCCCATAATCTCTCTAATCTGTCAAAATTGTTTTAAATTCTGCTCCTGTCTTCTGGAGTCTTGGCTATCCCTCCCAATTCATGACAAATTGGGTGTCAGAAGTGGGATTACTCATTTCCAATGTGGGAAAGTTATTCATAACAAAACGTCAGGAGAGAATGCTGCTGGAAGACGGCCAGACAACCTGAAAAACTCACAGCAGCCCAGTGATTCCGGCCGTGAAAGCCTTCCAGAACACATATAAATGTCATTATTTCCTAACTAGCTGTCCCCTGCCAGGCGTTGCTGTGGCCCAGTCTGGTGAACTGGAAAATAAAGTAATGAGAAAGCGTTGGTTTCTAATCTATGTAATGTCTTTCTGCTTGTGGGTAAACAGTATTTCTTGCTGTTTCTTTGACGGTGTTGATGTGGAGAGTGTCTGGTTTGCCTACTATGGAACATGCAACATGTCATTGTCCTTCTTTATGGGTCCCTTTCAAATATATGATACTATATCTCTCTCTGTGTGAATCATATCTATCTATATCTATGGCTGGATGGCTCTCTGTCAGGAGGGCTTTGATTACCCTGGTGAAGGGAGTTGGACTGGATCGCCTTAAGTATTTTCTGCTGGTCATGGGGGTTCTGTGTTGGAAGTTTCCCCCAATTCTGTCATTGGTGGGGTTCAGAATGCTCTTTGATTGTACGTGAACTATAACTCCCAAATGTCAAGGTCTATTTCCCCCCAAACTCCATCTGTGTTCATATTTGGGCATATGGAATATTTGTGCCATGTTTGGTCCAGATCCATAATTGTTTGAATCCACAGTGCTCTCTGGATGTAGGTGAACTACAACTCCCAAACTCAAGGTCAATGCCCACCAAACCCTTTCAGTATTTTCTGTTGGTCATGGGAATCCTGTGTGCTACATTGGGTTCAATTCCATCATTGGTGGAGTGTAGAATCGCACCGGGATTGTGGCGCAGCTGGCTGAGTGTCAGCTGCATTAAGATCACTCTGACCAAAGGTCATGAGTTCAAGGCCAGCCCGGGTTGGTGTGGGTTTCCAACCAATTATGTGTAGCCTGTTGTCGACCTTTGCAACCCGAAAGACAGTTGCATCTGTCAAGTAGGAAAATTAGGTACCACCTTAAAGTATGGGGAGGCTAAATTAACTGATTTATGAGGCCGTAAAGAAGACTCCAGGAAAGCATTCCAGCGGGGAAGCATGCGGGGAATGCGGAAGTGCTTCATCAGCGTCACAGATGGACAATGAAAGCGACAGCTCCCCGGTGGCCAGAAAAAAGTTAAATAGCCTCTGTGTATGTCTGTATATGTTTGTATGTCAAAATTGGCATTGGATGTTTGCCATATATGTGTACATTGTGATCCGCCCTGAGTCCCCTGCTATGGGGTGAGAAGGACGGAATAGAAATGCTGCAAATCTATATAACTAAAAATGTAATGTTTGTTTGTGCTACCATTAGAACTCAAAAACCACTGGAGGAATTGACACCAAATTTGTACACGATACACCTAACAGTCCAGTTTATGTCCTCCACTCAAAAAAAATGATTTTGTCATTTGGGAATTGTCGTTGCTGGGATTTATAGTTTACCCACCATCAAAGAGCATTCTGAACTCCACCAAAGATGGAATTGGGCCAAACTTAGCACACAGGGCTCCCATGACCAACAGAAAAAACTGGAAGGGTTTGGTGGACATTGACCTTGAGTTTGGGAATTATAGTTCACCCACATCCAGAGAGCACTGTGGACTCAAACAATGAAGGATCTGGACCAAACTTGGCACGAATATTCCAAATGCCCAAATATGAACACAGATGGAGTAAGGGAAATAGACCTTGACATTTGGGAGTTGTAGTTGCTGGGCTTTATAGTTCACCTACAATCAAAGAGCATTCTGAACTCCACCAATGATGGAATTCAACCAAACATGGCACACAGGACTTCCATGACCAACAGAATACACTGGAATTGTTTGGTGGGCATTGACCTTGAGTTTGGGAGTTGTAGTTCACCTACATCCAGAAAGCACTGTGGACTCAAACAATGATGGATCTGGAAACTTGACACAAAACTTGACACAAAAATTCCATATGCCCAAATATGAACACAGGTGGAGTTTGGAGGAAATAGACCTTGACATTTGGGATTTGTAGTTACTGGGATTTATAGTTCACTACAATTAAAGAGCATTCTGAAACCCACAAATGACAGAAATGGGGCAAACTTCCCACACAGAACCCCCATGACCAACAGAAAATACTTAAGGCCATCCAGTCCAACTCCCTTCACCAGGGCAAGAAAATGTAATCAGAGCCCTCCTGACAGAGAGCCACTCAGCCATAGATATAGATAGAGATAATTCTCTCTCATACACACAGATATAGTATCCTAGATTTGAAAGAGACCCTTAAAGAAGGACTATGATATGTTGCATGTTTCAGAGTAGGCAAACCAGACACTCTCCACATC